ATCTTCTGATAAGGGAACACTAGGAGCTAGTTTATATATATAGGGTTGTTGTGAGGGCTCACTGAGCCCTCATGAATGTTACTATCCTTCCCCTGGTAATTCAGATGCCAGAGACAGTCCTTCTAGTAGAAGCAGCATGTTGTTAAGGAGACTAAAATTAAGGATGGTCACTGATGTGCAAAATAATCACAGGTCACAGATGTGAATCATACAACGACAATATTGGCAACCCTGTTGTTCTAATGATTTTGCAAGAAAGGAACTTAGTCAAGAGCCTTGTGGAGAATGTGGCAAAGAAAAGGTGCTTTGGTTTCAGAATACATCTTAATTTGGACACAATTACCTCTATTCCAAGGTCTGAAAATTAAGAATTCTAGTAAAAATTGGTCTTCTGTGACACAATAACAGTTAAGTGTTTTCAACAGACCAATGATAGGTGGATAGATAGGACGAACCTAACATAATTAAGTAGGCTTTCTATGCAAATCAGACTAGTGTTAGACAAATTTCTATTTATCTTGTCAAACTTTTAAAGTACATCGATTGGCAAGAGGCCCAGGTTGTTAGATATAGAATTTTACTGAAAAGATCACCCTTTGGAGATATCTGGATCTGTAACGATCATCTGCAAGCAAGAACATTTTTGCAAGTAAAAACAAGTAATTTTTTACCATTAGCTACCCAAGTTACATACTTTTTCTCTTGGAAGGGGAAAATTCTTAAGCACCCAGAAATCCCACTGAAAAAATCCTTTTTGCATGTAATATAAAATAAAAAATCCTATTTTGGTATGCAAACCAAAACACAGTCCTGAATGTTATGACATAAATACTTTAAGAGGTCTGGCATTTATAAAACCAGTATTTTCACTAGAATAAAAAAGAAAATGCCCTATATTGGGGATTTGTATCAACTAATGATTTGGGAATGTAACTTGGTAGTGATCATTTAGTCAAAGGAGAGCATCAATATAACTGACCATATTTCTAAAGCTGTGTATGCTTTCACTACTGAATATGATGGGGGGAAAGTGGAAGTTAATCAAAGCAGCCATAGTAATTTTGTTTATGCTTATAGCACACAGATTTTCTAAAAGTGTATATGAAAAAACCCAGCACCTAGCCTATTTTTGTTGTTAGATGTATTTTCTGTATTTCAACAAATGCAATAGATTTTAAGACACACTGTATTTACATGCAAGTAAGGAAATAAGTCAGTGAA